GAAGGACGCTCACCTTATCGCCCCTGAAAGATATGTTACAGAAAACCAAGACATCTCATGAGTAACCACCACCAGCAAATCCAGCCTAGGCAGGGTTTTGCTTTGATCATTGTTCACATCAGAATATTCCTAGAATATTAGATTGGAGATGAGAAGAAGATGAAAGAGTAAATTTTCTAGAAAGAACAGAGGAAAGATGCTAGAGAATAAATAACAAAGGGAAGCATCGACGACCAATGGAAGACTCAAAGCAAGACCTCAAAAATGTTTGTTAAATGAATAATATTTTTTTAAAAAGCGTGAAGATTTTAGATTTAATCCAAAATGTGATGCAAAACCTTTGATAACCTCCCAGTAATTTACCCGAGTGAAAAGCAGAAATCACTTTTTCAATACACTTAGGAAAGAGCTGGAGTACCTAGCTTGCAGTCTTCTCCTCAGCTGTTGTGTGCCCGGAAGCCATCAAGTAAAACTGTATTTATCTGTAAAGTGAAGATAATTGTTCCTCCCACTTCACAGTAATTTTGTAAAGATAATTGGTATCACCTGAAAGGGCTTTAGAAACTATTAAGTATTGTGCAATTGTTTGGAACTTTATTTTTATTTTCAGGAGTTAGGGAGATTCCTGAGGAGTAAGAGGTACTCTTTTCTAAATAATGCAGAGATGAGAGATGAGCCAACCATCTAGATGCCATCATAATTACTTAGAAAAGGACCTGTCAGGTGTTTTATGACCCTTATTGCTCAGAGAAGTTTTACAGCATGTGGTAGCCTCTTTAGGGCCTAAATAAATGCAATTATGTAAAAGAACAGGAGAACAGACCAAAGTGGTGTTACATTCTAAAAAATGTAAGTTAACCCCAGTGATTCAGTTTTTTGAGAAAGAAAAAACTGGTTTTTTCCTACTTCTGCTCTCCACCCACATGGCGCCCCAAAGAGTTCCAGATGTGGCTGAAGCACCATCTGTAAAGATGCAAGGAATCGGGTCTACCCACACCGATCACCAAAATATTAACTCTAGCAGCCAGGTGGTTCCAGCCTATGGCTATTCCTCTCCCTCAGGTCTTCAGGAGGACATCCAAAAAATTACCAAGAATGAATATGTGTGGAAACTGACCTTCCATACTTTCCTTGGCTGTGAACTCAGGCATGTTTACAAAATATACAACAGAAAATATGCCCTTTGACTGTTGTTTAAATTTGAATGCCCCCCCCCCCGCCTCCATGAGTGAAATGGTAAAAATGCAACCGAGTTGCATTCAGATCCTCCTCTTTTCTCATCTCGGTACTGAGTCACCTGCTGTTGGAGCCTTTATATGGTATGGCTCCAGGGGATCCGAATGATCAGAACAATGTCAGCGATCCCTCCACCGTAGTTTTAGTGTGACCCTCCCCACTCGGGTAGCTGTAAGGCAGCTCTACCAAACCCCACACCAGATAGATCATGGCTAATAAGAGCAAACCCCAGGCAACTCAAACACTGTTCACTACACATACTCAGGACACAGCTCATTTCCCGACTGGCCTTTTCTCTTTTTTTTAACTTATTTTATTTAAAGATTTTACTGATTTATTTATTTGTCAGAAAGAGAGAGAGCATGCGCACGTGCACAAGCAGGGGGAGCGGCGGGCAGAGGGAGAAGCAGGCTCCCCACTAGGCAGGGAGCCCGAGGCGGAACTCGATCCCAGGATCCTGGGATCATGACCTGAGCCGAAGGCAGATGCTTAAACAACTGAGCCACCCAGGCGCCCCTAACTTGTTTTATTTAAGTTCAGTTAGTCAACATACAGTGTATCATTAGTTTCAGATGTAGAATTCAGTGATTCGTCAGTTGCAGATAACACCCGGTGCTCATTACATCACGTGCCCTCCTTAATGCCCATCACCCAGTTACCCCATCCTCCCACCCACCTCCCCTGCAGCAGCCCTCAGTTTGCTTCCTAGAGTTAAGAGTCTCTTAACTCTTTTTCTCATGTCTTAGGTTGGTCTACATTGCTCCCAACTCAAGCTTTATTTTCCATTTTCGGTCCTGATTCTATCCATTGGACTAGAAGATTCATCTTGGTTTCTTCTAGTTATCCCTTGGTTCACGCCACAATCTTTGGTTTGTAATTACCATCTTTTTTTTCTTTTTCTGCTATCCATCTCAAACTCCTGGAAACCAGCCAAGGAAATATTTCATAACACCAATCACAACGATAAACCTGAGTCTGACTTAGATCTCAGTCTGAGTGGAGGAGACCTTACCACTTACATCCGCTGTGATCTTACCCTACTCTAGCCTACCCTCTTCTCCAGCTCCAGGCTGGGGGCCGTCCTACTGAAAGGGAACCTCAGAACGAGGAGACTCTGGTGCCGTGAGCACCTCTCAGCAAACTAGTCCTTAACTAAGTCTCATGTTGACAAGAGCAAACCCAAATAAAAGGGAATTTAGGCACTCTCTGCAATGGATCTCCAATCACAGACAATAATTTCTCAAAATACAAACTTCAGATATAGTTGCCACTCAATTATGGTATAGTTCTTCTGGTGCCACTTATATTAGCTCATGTACAAAGGTGGGCAGTTCAGAAAACAAAGGTGGTTCCTTCTCTTTTAGTTCATCTTCTGTAAAGTACTTGGTAAAATTCCATAGTTGTCCCGAATCACACACTTCCTGTTTTTCTTTCTCCTATACTCCTATGGCTTAGAAGAATTATAAAGAAAGTCCTGAAGTTTTTCAGGGGCTTTTAATTTTCTTCTTCCATACCAAATGTCTCACCCAGGGCTCTACATGCCTTATTTCATTTTATCCTCACACTAATTGTATGAAATAAGTATTTTAATTCCTATTTTAAGAGATGTTAAATGATTTGTGTAAGGTCACATAGCTGGCCTTAAAGTGGGCAAAGCAGTGTTTGAACCTTCATCCTTCTAAAATCAGGGCCTTTGTTCTTACACTGTTCCACGTTTGATGAGAAGAGAAAGTAAGCCTCAAAAAAGTGTTCTCAAGATAAAAAGAAATGAGGTATTACACCATAAAAAGACATGGAGGCGCCTCAAATGCGCACTATAGAGCAATAGGAGCCAATCAGAAAAGGCTACATACTGTTGGAGTCCAACTATATGACGTTCTTGAAAAGGCAAAACTATGGAAACAGTAAAAAAAAAAAAAAAAAAAATCAGTAGTTGCCAGAGATTGAGTGAGGGTGGGCTAAAAGGCAGAGCCCAGAGGATTTTTAGGGCAGTGAGACTCTTCCGTATGAGACTAACATTGTGGATGTATGTCATTATACATTCATCAAAAAACATAGTTTAAAACACCAAACCTTGGTGTAAACTCTGGACTCTGGGTGATGAGGATGTGTCAGTGGAGGTTCATCAACTGCAACAAATGTTACCGCTCCGGTATAGGATGTTGACGGTAGGAGAGGTTGTGCGTGTGTGGAGACAGATGCTATGTAGGAACTCTCTGTACTTTCTGCTCCATTTTGCCATAAACTTAAAACTACTCTAGAAAATAAAATGTATTAAATAAAGATTTCCCCACTAAACAAACAAACATCATAGACTTGATGTTACTTCACACCTTGCTCCAATTTCTACCTGTAGCACTTAGGATACTAAAAAGAGAACAAAAACTAGTCAAAGCAAAGCCAGGATAGAATCTGATTCTAGAAGAAGTAAAGCTACCCACAGGCATCCTAAGTCAGCCTCAGTTTCCCTTTCTCTCTCCTTCTTGTCATCTGTTTTGCCAGCCTTTCACTGTTTTACCTCTTCTATCCCTACCACGCAACCTTTATACCCAGGAGTGGAAAAGAAAAAATAAAAACAAAACTCTTAGTATTTACTGTTCCAGCAACTACTGCTTCCAAAACTTAGTGGTGTAAAACAACCATTTATTGTGCTCATGGGTCTGTGGGTAAGACAGGGCACTGTGAGGATGGCTTTTGTTTGATCCCTGACATCAGAGACCTCAGCTGGGAAGACTCCATGACTGGGTTGACTGAGCAGCTTGGGGTTGGAATCATTCGGAGGCGTTTTTTCTCATGTGTCTGGGTGTTGATGCTGGCTATCGGAGGGAACCTCAGCTAGCCCTTTGGTCAAAATACATACCCATGGGGTCTCCATTAATCTCTACATGTGGGCTAGTTTGGACATGGTGGCTGTGTTCCGGGAGAGCGTCTCAAAAGAGCAAGGGGAAGTGCATGACATCTCTATGATCTAGCCTTGGAAGTCACATAGGATGACTTCTACCATACTTTATTGGTCAAAGTGGCCACTAAGTTCTACCCAGGTTCAAGAGGAAGGGACACAGACCAAAACCACCAGATGGGAGGAGTGTCAAGATCATACTGTAAGCAGATATGGAATAGGAGATACTATTGCAGCCGTTCGTGATATACTCGATCACAGTAACTTTTGTTATATGTTGTTGTACCTCATACATCTAGGTATGTATTGCATTTGAATGTTTGGTTAGACTTTGCTCCACATCTTTATTTCTGATTGCCTATTTCAGATTATAAACCACATAATGGCGGGACAGCCGTGTTGAGTTAATTTACACAAGCTCCCCCATAGCACCTTGTACTTGACAATCATAGTATATAATATTATTACTAGTGCTGCAATTGCTGATAGATACATGCACTTAAGCAATCATTATTTTTTACATTTGTAATGTGTTGCAGAAAATCTCCACACTAACCAAAAAGACATATAGCATCTTTACTGTGCAAGTGAGTTTTATTACTCCAATTAGGTCTTGGTTGCTTGAGAGGAGTACATAATTTCTTCTCCCAAGTGAATAGATTCTTGTAATGCAATAATTGAATCTCACAGTTGAGGGGGGAAAAAGAATCGCTGCCCTGAAGGAACTATCTGTTTTCCTCCACAATTAATCACTTTGGTTTTAATAGATTATTAAACGGTTTAGATGAGTAATCTGTGTGAGATCTTGATCATGAATGTTGAGCTCTTGAAAAGTTAATTAATGAAAGCAATTGTCCCTTTTCAGTTGATTTCATAGGTGGCTTTGATTCTTATGGCTATCAAGGGCCTCAGAAGACATCTCACTTACAACTACAGCCTATGTACATGTAAGTACTTTGCAGACATTCTTCTGTGATACTAAAAGATGATTAAGTAAACAGTATTATGGCACAAAAGAGATGGCAAGGAGCTTTCCTCCAATTACATACTTCCAGTATTTTCTCTTCTATTAATATTGTCTTGACTGGGATAATTCTAATAACATTTTCTTCATAATTCTTTTTTAAATTTAACTTATTGAAATGCCATCTCTAAAGTTACCTTTAGTCTTACATATAAGTATCAACAACTTAGGTAAAAGGTCTTCATTAATATATTACTTCTTTGAATTACCCCAAAATTGTATGTTTTGAAAATGATATAACGTTGGAGGTAGTTATATGTAACTATATATGAACTATGTGTTCTGGCTTTCCCAGGAGAGTCTCATTTTACACGGTTGTCCTGGCATAGTTATTGCCAGTATCTCGTGTTCCTCTCAAAAGTATTCTCATTTGGATGTTAAATGATAGGTTATGTACAGTTATATATAGTATAACCCTAGTATATATAGTATAACCTTAGTTATATATAGTGTTAAAAATTAAAAAAAAAACTGAATAACGCTCTGTATCATTTTTCTGATGTGAAAAGTGAAAATTAAGCCAGAATAGTAACACTGAGATTTATCAGACCCTTAGCTCTAGCACTCAAGAGAGCAGACATACAATCAGAGCCTGATTTTTATATCTGTGTTTAGGCAAATTCCCTTGGATAACAACTGATAACAAATTCTATATATCAGCATCAAGTGATATGCTGAATTGCAAGCGAAGATCAAAATAGAAAGTAAGATTCCAATTCATTTTGAAATGTGAGCTTCTCTTTGAAGATATGTGTTTGTCGTCGTTGTCCTCCACCATTGAATCATTTTACCTTTTAAGATTGTTAATGTGTAGGATAATACATGGATTTTTAGAGAATTTCTCCTCCTCCAAGAGACTAAAGTAATTTTTATACACCTCCTTGTAAGCGTCTCCTTAAAAGGGGAATGATCTATGCATCACGCCTGCATTTTTCTTTGGAATTATTTGGTAACACCACCCATAAAAAAGACTTTATCAGTTCAGAATTTAGCCAGTACTAGATGTCATTCAAAGCATCCCCTCTGCAAACAATGCATCACACATTTTCTTTTTAGTATCCCCACAACCACTGCCCTAATTCAGGCATTCATTACCTGTTGCTTTCTAATTTTAGTATCTCTAACCCATCTTCCATGAAGCTGCCAAATTAATCTTCTCAAAGTATCATTTTGACTATTCCCTCCCCTGCCCCCAAACTGTTGATGAATCCCTATTACCTACTGAACAAAGTCCACTCTCCTCACCGTAGCCTGCAAGTAGACTCTGATCCAGCCCCAATGTTCTGCTGAAATATTATCTCTTCTCTTCAACCCTTAACAATTCTTGACTCCCAACCATATGCAGAAGATGCTAGGAGACACTGGGAAAATGTAATAATGAATAAGAACCGGCTCCTGTCCTCCTGAAGCTTATAATCTATTGAAGACATTAATAGTCTGATATCTCCGCTTATCCTTTTTTTTTTTTTTTTTTTGCCAGCCAAACTAGAACTCTTGCTTTCTGCAAACATGACTGGTATTTTTCCAATTGTCCATGCTGTTCTCTTGACACCAAACATATTTTTTTCCAAGATGAAATCCCACTATCCTTCAAGTTGTATCTTAAATACATATTTTATGGAAGATTTTCAATGAATCTCCTTTTCCTCTGACACTTCTCTCTTCTTCTTTTGCTTAGTACTGCAGTTGTTTTCTATTTAGACTATGTGTCTCCTATCCTCCCAGGAAGACTTGATAGCTTACACAAAAACTAAAATGACAAATCTTTTAAATTCTTTACCACCCTTCTCAATATTGTATCATAGCCTTATGTAAAGTAGTCTGTTAAAAAATAAAGGCAAAGCAGTACGGAGTAGTGGTTAAGATGACCTACAAAAGGCAGAGTACTGGAGATAAAATTGTTTACGATCTTGGACAAACAACTTTATTTGAATAACTTTAACTATTCTCATCAAACTTAAGTTTCCTTGTCTGAAAAATAGAGATTATGTAGCATACATCCTTCATATAATTATTCTGAATTTAGAAGCACATAAGACATGAAATATGCCACATAGTAAATGCTTAATAAACATAACTTACTATTAGTAGCAACAATGCTATGTTAATGAGCACTACTCATGAAAAGATTTTATCAAGTCAGAAATAAATATGTAGTACATTTCATGCCCAAAGGATTTCCTCCGTAAACAATGTATCACATACAACATCCACCCAAGCAACATGTAACAGTATGTTTGTGCTTAGGAGTAGACCAGAACATCTACAAAGTTTGCAGTGGCTCGCTTCTGACAATATCACATAACATTTCTTTACCAGGTAGCACTTCATTGTGTTGATCAATGCTCAATAAATGTGATCAAGTTATAATAAATGCCATGTAACCCATATGTAGGACTAGCTACAATAATAACGTGAGAATGCTAATTATACACAATCAAGGATATTGTTCCAAATCAGGCATTTATAAAACTAATGTTGTCTTTAAAGAGGGGACACTGCAAATTTAATCTCCAGCATTAAATTCCTTGAGGACAAAACTTCCCATGATTTTATTAAATAGAAGACTTTAAATGCCAAACCAAAAGTAATAAAAATGTCGTTTTCTTCCTTACTGCCTGGGAATGGTAAAGGTATGTAAGAAGTTTCAAGTCTCACTGCTCAGGAAATAAGTAAAATGTTTAACGAAATTCAAATTTAGGAAGTTAGAAACACTTGTACGTAAGAAACCGCTAGTCAAAACACAATTCTGTCCTCCTACAAAACACCCCCATGGGACTTCAAATACTGCAACGCCGACATTTTATTTTACAGACGAGGAAACTGGATGAAGAGAAAGCAGAACAAGGGTCACACAACTTGTTATTTGCGCAGCCCCCAATTATCAGCCAGTTTTCCTGATCCTTTAGTTCAGAATTCTTTCCAAATCCTCAGACCTGCAAATGTGCTCTGGCATCCACTATGTTTCCTGATTTTCAGTTTATTCATTTGGACTTCTCCACACGAACGTAGCTGCCATACTTCCAAACGTGCCTGAATCTCTCCCTTTCTCTGCACTCCCTTCATCCTCTTCTGATCTTACATTATGCAGTGAGGAATGAAGGGTTTTTTCCAACACCCTAGCCTTCAAGACCACTCCTTTGAGAGCCATTGCCTATTCAAATCCTGTGAAAAACCAAAAGCGACTCAGGCACAGTCCTGATCCCCTGCTGAGAGGCAGGCACCCGAACATTTCCTATGTCTTTGTCCTTTGGCGTCTAGCTTTTCCTGTCAATCTGCCATAAACAAGTCTCATAAAATAAGAGTAATTTAACATCATGGGCCAGTTCAAGCACTTTAACGATATTATATAGCAACTGGAAATAAAAGCTGTTCCTTACAAGGAAAGCAAACGCTTAAAAGTAATGTGCAGTTTTGGCTGCGGGGCTTCCATTATGCCCAATCTGTGGCTGAGAGCTTTGAAAACACTGCCCTGACTGACTTCCATTCACAGCCGTGTTTCAGCGCCTACCATCACTGAATAGAAGACCTCTCTTTTTCTGTTAAGTTAGGCGAAACTTCTTGGCCTGCTCTTGGCCTGTAATTCTTTAGATTATCTATCACCCATCCTAAAAGAAAAGGTTTACATTAATTTATTTCTTAGGGTTTGGCAAACCTCTTTGAAGCAAATAATAGCTATGAAGTTGCTGCCCAAAAACATTCCCGAGTCCACAGGTTAATTGTTTAACAAAGTAGGGGCTTTGACGACCACCGACCTATGTGCCATAGCACGTAGAGCTCTGTCTGGGCTCCCTGCAGTATAAACTGTGAGAATATCCCATGGTATCTTACTAGTAACACCTGAAAACATTGCATTCTTTTTGGCAGCCTAATTGTACAGCAATACGTATTCATTTCATTTGCCCCTGGAAATGGACTTTAAATGATCATAAGTGGCCTCTTTATCCAGGCGGTTACAGACAAAAAAGAAAAGGAAAGGAAAGTTGTCTCTTTTAAAATAAAATTGGGGCTTGGCCTTTTTTTTTTTTTTGAGTTTTTTTTTTTTGAGTTTTTGCTTGCTCTTGTGCTTGGAGAGGTGAGAAAAGGTGCTGAGCTCTCCCCCTGGATTAAAAACATCTTGTCTCTCTCTCGTTCTCTCTCCCAGGTCGAAATAATACAGATGGCTTCAGGATGTCAGCTCCTGGACCTTTCAAAGAACTTGTTTCACAGTGGCCTCCTGCATTTTATGAAGAGCAAGAAGCAACTGAGTTTAAATATATATACATATTAACAAAACAAACATAAAGCCTCCACATACAGTGGGACACACACACACACACACACACACACAGACACGCACGCACACGCGCGTGTGTGCATGTACACCCACACATACACAGAGGCACACACTAATTCCACTTGGCTTCCTCTTTCTAACTGAAACAAACATGCAGGACACGCCCATCCTTGGATTTCCTGAAAGTAGGCTCCTTTCTCCCAGGCCTTTGGAAAGTTCCTAAGGAGACGTGTTGGCGCCCTCTGCTGGCCGTCACTAACTCCTCTGCAGCCCAGCCAGTCGGCCTCTGCGAGCTGCGAAGTCCTCCGGGGCGCATTAGTTTGAGAGCCCTGTCTTCTGCACTCCATACGTCTTGATAGCACCACGGCTATGTAGGCAATGTAATTGCAAAAACAAACAGAACATGCCATGATGACCTTGTAACCGAAGTCCGAAATGGCAGGTTGTTTGCCCTAAAGGCTATACCGTACATACTTGCCTTAACCCACCTAAGTTGTGTGCCCGAGTCTCAGTGCAGACCTCCCCAAGTCACTTCCTTTAGGCTAACACACTGCTATTAATTCCGAATGAGTTCGAGTCTGGGTGTTTCATGTCAAGAAACAAGACCACATAGCTCAGCAGCTCCAGTGTATCTGTGTACAAAGGCGGCCAACTATCAGCAAAGTGCTTTACCATTGACCCTCCACGGTGGCCAAAAACAGACAAGTGACAATAACAACAATAATCGTCATCTTTATAATCCTTAAATATGGTCTTCTTGAAGGGGTTGAGTGGGACAAAGTAAAACTTATTAACCTACTAAACTCATTAATCTACTGGAAGCAGAGAGCAGAAATGGCTTAACTCACTGATTTTATTTCTCGCACTCTAGGTGCTTTTATAAGTATCTACAAATGTCTTCTACTAACACAGGAACAGCTGTGGATTTCTATCAACAGAGGCCAACTGAATATGTATTAGCTATGTTTACTCTTTTATATCTAATTCAAATTGAAGACCCTACGTAGGTGAACTTTTTTTCCTAACTTCAGCGTACGAGATTATTTTTTGGGTGGGTGGGGGGGGAGCAATAGTTACCTTGGTGAAATATTTGAGATCTCTTTGTGGTATTTGGGGGATCTGTTGTGTGTTAGAGTGTATTCTAATCCTCCTGTATTATTGTGGCAGAAAAACTGTGCTGTTAACGTAGTTGGCAACAAGATGCCTTTGGAAACTTAATAGTAGGTCAATGTGTTTATGGAATATTCTGAATTCCTAGGAAATTTTGTTCTATATATTCAAGCATTATTTGGTTTTCATTAGTGGAAAACATAATTAGCTCAGACTTGTCAGGAACTCAGAGTCATGTTTTTTCTTGGATCCACCTGAGACGCTAAAGTCAATCTTTTTTAGACGAATACAACATCCTT